AGGCATGCTTAATTGAATTTACGTATAAAGCATCCATGGTAAGCCAGTCTGAATGTTGCGATTGCGTTACATTACTTAAAACACAAATGCACTAAATTTACGTATATTTAAAATAACCAAGTATTTTTAATGAGCGATATGGTTCGTTTTCGTCCAGGAAATCGAAGGTGCAGTTTATGTAAATCAGGAACAAATCTGTACCTGATTTACAGATATTGATTATACATTTATTTCTTTTGGATTTTCTTCATGAAGTACCGTATTAAGTACTATTTAAAGCACGCGTAGGAGTGTTTTATCACATATAAAACACGACGCGTAGCGGAGTGTTTTATATGTGATAAAACACGACTACAAGTGCTTTAAAATAGCTTCAAAAACGACTCATCTTGTACGAGTTCATTGGCGAAGTAATTTTTAAAATAAACTTTGTCTAAAACGAGAAAATCAAAGCTAAACGGTTTATGTAAATTAATAATTCAAGCACGTTAGGTGAAAGAACAGCCCGAAAATAAGTAAAACACACACTAAATTATTGTGGGAGAATGGGTTCAGGGTGAAGTGAACCAATTATATACATTATACTCTCAAACTCTGGTCAACCCAAAGACTCATTAAGCCTTATGTTTTCATCCCGCAGGCGTATATATAAGACCTGCTATCTCGACGTTCCCTCTTATAAAAGTCAGCACAGGCAGGGGCGGCGCTAAAAGGGTATTGTGTGTGTGGAACACCCCAATCGTCAGGTAGTAGGCAAATTATCTAATCCCAGTTGCAAGTGATGAACCAGGCGGGAATCGTAATCGTAATATAAAAATTAAAGCCACATAGACAAGAATATAGACATAAAATTTATTTAGGAAGTACTAGTACTAACGTTTCGTCTTTAACAGTAATTGAATATAGTATGACAATGAGTTACAAAATTAAATATGAATAAATTACTATTTACAATATCAAATTACAAGAATACAAGGTAATAGGAATGCGGAGGATAAGGGAGGGGGGGGGGGGTTAAAGGAAAGAAGTCAGAGGAGGGAGAGAGGAATGGAGCTACCTTGCTGAT